CTCGCGTCCGCCCGCCGCCCTCCGATTGGCTCAGGCGCCAGCCCATCAGCGCGCGTGCCCGCCCCCGCGGCAGGCTGGATCTAACCTGGAAGCTGGAGAGGTGAAGCCGTTAACGGCCACGTTTGGGGGCCGGGGGGGCCGGGGAGGCCGGTCTCGCGGCTTGTTTTCAGCAAGTGCAGCGCCAGCGCCACATGGCTTAACTAGCCGCTGTTTGCTGCTTAACAAAAATAAAGATAGGACAGCCAGGCCAGAGGGAAGCCAAGCACATACAAGCCACATCGCAGTCAAAGGCTCCGTTATTGATGCAACTGATTTTTGCACAACCCCACGTGCCTTTATTCTGGCTGATGTGACTTCACTGTCAGATGATTATATAGAGTATGAAGCTAAAAGCCTGATGCCACTCCAATATAGGGTTATCAAAAGATGCAGAACGTTATTAGGAGAAAGAGTTGGCAAGCACTAGCAGCCAGCAATACCTCCTTTTCTTCTGAGCAAAACCTCTGTCACGTTGCTACTTGCAGTGTCTGGCAACCGAACGCGGAGGTCACGGTATCGTAAGGTAAGTCAACTCATCACACAGGTAGCCACGCAGGTTAATCCAGCGCACAGGTAACTTTGTGCAACTGAACTTTCCTCCACATGAGACAACGTATGTGCCATTTTCATTCTGGGCTTTCCTAATTTAAGAAACTTAAAAACCTCCCATAACTGACCTACAGGACGATTAAAACATGGAACTCAAATGATGCATCAACTATGATATAATTATTCAGATTACACTGAACGGTAAACAAAAAACATATATGTTATTTTTCCTTAAAAATGCATGCAGGAGGATGGCAAGGGATCCTCTTGGCAGAAACATGCATGGGATGCCAGCTAAACTGGAAGTAGATCAGTTGTAAATTGATCTCTGAAAGAGCCTGCAGAGCACCCTGTTCCTAGCGTGTGTTGAAATAGGGTTCCTAGCGTGTTTACTTGAAATAACTTTCAAGTAAAGTTTGGCTGCGGATAACTTCCCGACATGCCAAGGATATTGGGGTTATTATGAGTGGTATGAAATTAGGAGAGTATACAGGACAAATGCCCCCTGCCCCCAGTCTCCCACGGAGGGGAAAACTTCAGAAACAGCTCAGTAATAACATTACGAAGCTGCACTGGGACTGACACGATGCCCGCAGCCATTGTGAACGTTCCAGCAGCGGGAAGGGCTCTCTCTGACCAGCACTTAAATCTCCTAGACATGGAATAATCCAAGCGTGAGACACACAGCCAAGGGAAACTAGGATTCATAAGCTTAGCGGATCAAAAAATTACTTGCTTTTCCTGGTATCGTGGGATTCGTAGCACCATCATCAGGCAAACAATCTACCTGCAACAGAAGTGAACAAGACAGAGTGAAGACAGTTACAAATACATGCTTCAGACTGCCTCTTTATAGCCTGGTTGTTTAAGAGCCACGTTCCCCTTCTTACAAAAGAAGTCAAGTCTGTGATGCAAAACAAGGGCAACTCAAATAACTCTGCTACTCTCCTGAAACTTTAAATTATATGTACCCTGCAGGAAGGGAACTTTTTTCCCCCCTAGAACTCGGCCAAAGTCATTACTGGAAATAATCAATCTTGCAGAACAGCTGAGAACACTTAAAATATACTTAACATACTCATATTTCATTTCTTTCTGTGATATAATCACTATCACCTAGATAGGAGAATTCCTGACAAAACAGGTAGATTTCAGGGCAAATCCCAAACCTACAAACTGAGCTTGCTTACTTATGCTGTATAAGACATTCCATTTCAATCAAAACCCTGAAAAAGCCAAAAATGATGAAAATGCCCAATAGGCTTGTGCTCTCTCTTCTAATTTTTCTACCTCATTTTGAAAAGCAGCCCTTGACCTATTTAGTTAAGATTTGGCTTTCCACTGGTTGCCTAAGGCGAAGTTAAGAACTTAGAAATCTGAATAAATTCCCCAAGCTCCTCCCTCAATAACAGCCTGAAAGTCACTGGCACAATTGCAGCTTACACATCTGTTAAGCAATCATTAATTTATCAGTAACAAAAATAGGCAGAGATACAATCTTATCTTTAGCTTTACTTCCTAGCTCATCAACTTTGTACAGCGTCAATGGCTTTTTTAATGATTACTGACAAAGCCAGAAATGACAGTGTGCGAAGAAAACTTGTCCAAAGATTTTCTGTGATCGTCGCTCTGGATCTTACAGGAGACTTGGCAACAATAAGCCTAAAACATGGAACTATGACTATGAAGACTGTTCCCTCCCTCTTTCTTTGCAGGACTCAGCAAACGAAAACCTGTACTTTGTTTTGCTGAGTCAAAACCAGAAATGTCTGACAACAGAATTACATGTGAACCACCACTGCGCTGGATTCTGATGGAAGATCTTTACTACTTTACTGTGTGGGTGACTGAACACTAGGACAGGTTACCCAGAGAGGATGTGGAGTCTCCTTCCTTGGAGATCGTCAAAAGCTGTCTGGACGCAATCCTGGGCAACGGGCTCCAGGTGACCCTTCCTGAGCAAAGGGGTTGGACTAGATGATCTCTAGAGGTCCCTTCCAACCTCAACCATTCTGTGATTCTGTTATCTCCAGCACCGGCCTCCTATTCATCAACAGATAACGCTATGAAAGACCTTACATGCAGAAACCTATCTGCTAGATAGGCCTTCTAATTCTTGTAATGGTTAGCTGATTACTCACTGATTTTTCTTCTATTATTTTCACTTTTAGTGATTTTAATTTAAGGTAACAGTGCTCCAAAATAACACATAGCATAGAACCATGGCAAAACTGGAAGCAAGGCCCCCTTTTCAGCAAACTAATAGTACTTCAAAAGATGCTTACTATCTAAATACGGTTTGTAAATAAAATTCCAAGGATCTGAACTAAGATCAGCAGAAAGTCATGAGTTAGTTAATAAAAGCATTCATGCCTCCACTTGATTTCTCCATGGGTTGCTGTTTTTATGACTGTATGTCATTTCTTTAGCCTTCAAAATAGACCAACTGCATACTGCTAATTGATGTGCCAGTACCTTAGTGCTCTTCACACTCCTTCAGTTTTTCTACATTTGCATAATTTACGTTTGCATGTAACTCAGACCATTATATAGATCAGTTGCACATCAAGCCATAAAGACATTCTAACAGCAAACGCTGGTTTCAGCCTAACACCTGAGAGGGAATCTCAGACTCATTTTGGATGGCCCACATATTAATCCTCTGCACAACACAGGCCAGCAAAAGGCAGCCCACCCAGGAAGGTACCAAATTACACTACTTTGAAATACATTCTTCTCCCAGCCAAGATGAAGCATTGCTAGCACGCTTCCTTACAGTTAAGCGTTAAACCAGAGCTTCCATGCAGCGTTAGGGGACACAGTGCTGGTGTCCTCAGCAGCCATGACCAATTTCTTGGCACGCTCACCGAGGGGAGGGGTGTTATTAACTGCAGATGTTATTATTGCCCTGAGCTATTGGGAAGTCTCTCTCTGCACTGTCAAATAACTGCCACATTTTACCTCACAGGCAAGGACAGCAGTTCAGTACATGTTCCCCAAATCTCAACTCATTATAACAAGTGGGGTTATCAACTGGGTTAGATAGTACTACTTCTGCTTTTCACCACTGTGTTCTTGTTGATACACATTTCTTCTTACAGTGTTTTCAGGCACATCATCACTACTAATATAGTCTGTAGAAAGCCCAGGGATTCATGTGCATTGTTTGAGAAACCTCAAGAACTTCTAATCTAATCTTAAACCCTGAATCCACCCAGTATTACAACTAGGTTAACAGAGCTGTTAACGGAACAGTTTGTCCTTACACACAGCAGTCATCAGGTGAAAAAGGCAAATAACTTTGGATAGCTGGGTCTGACACAGTAGAAAACCACATTTTTCACAGTGGTTTTTAAATTGCTTCAGTTTGAAAGGGAAAATTTTAGCTATAAAAGGCATCACTTTAGGCACGCTCATGCAAAAATACCATGGCTGCAATTGAGCAGGAGTATAACACATAATGGCCATTTTTTATCTTGATTTGGTAAATGCTGTATGTTTGCTGTGATGTGGGTAATTCTGATTTCTTTAAATACATTTTTGATCAGGATCTAACCATCTCTAAATTTGTTGTGCGCTACCATTTCAGAAAGGAAAGAGATAATCCCAGAAACAGTAAGCAAGGTGTTTCCAAAATGAAACATACTTCCCCCAGACCCTGAAGGAAACAGACATTCATGTTAACTTCATGGCTGCTGAAATTTACTTTAGAAGCCCAGCCAGCTACCATTCCTAGACTCCACGACTTCCAGATACGTTGGTCACCTACCACACTGCCCATGAGCTCTTGCCTCCCTTCTGAGGAAAATAACTTAAATGTTATTGATAAACTCCCTGTACATCCAAAGCCTGAGGCAAGAGTTCCACAAACCAACGCACCAGACCTCCCCCATCTCTCCCAGGGCCAGGAGTTCAGAGCACCCAAGCAAGCTCCTGCTCTTTCTCTCAGAAATCCCTGGGAGCAGTACAGATTAGGAACAGCTGCTCACTGCAGTTTTAGCTTTTGGAGGGACTGAAGAGGCATCAGGAGCACCATTTCTAATGCTCTGAAAAGAGATAGCTCACTGAAAGGTGAGAGTTTCACATAAAAGACATGGCAGCTTGATCCTGTATGTATGCTTGCATTTTCTTCACCATTTTGTCACCACCAGCAACTTTCCCAGCTTCTTGGACTCAGTGGCAACTCTCCAAGAACCACCACTGCTTTAACAGTTTCACAATCCCCCTTTCACCACTGTTTGAACATTTTTTCCATGGCCATCTCATAGCTTCTTGTAACTTTTTTCTAAAACTGTTTGCTGCATCTTAGCTCTTCCTTGTCCAATAAGACCAAAAGATCTGTATTCTAGCCATACCAGCTTCCCCCCGCCATGGTTCTCCTCTCTGTCCACAGCCTCTGCTCTCCCTGCAGTGGGATTCACTTATCTCACAGAGAAAGGCACATATTGTTTCAAAAAAAAAGCGGGGGAGAGGGAGCTGTATTATATAAGCACGCCACAGTTGCAGTTTCTTTCACGTAGCAGCAGTGGAGAAAGAGCTACCTTTGTAGCTTGTAGAGACTGTGGGTCTCCATCCACTACATCTAATAGGAGACAGAAAAAGAAAAGGATATTTGGCATCTTTAGCTTTCTGGTGATTCCCAACTGGTGTGCAACCCGCAAGGCAATTACCTTTTGGTATCATTTAAATACTGCCTCCAGCCTGCACTGGACCAGAGTCAGCACAGTCGTCCTTTTCCCCTCCTAGATGGTTGTATGGGGAAGGGGAGAAAACTTTCCTCATGCACCGATGAATGTAAAGAAAAGCCAAGCAAACTGCACTCTTCCTCTGCCTGGATTCCCACGGCCTGGGGAGAAAGCAGGCCACAGAGCAAACAAAAACTGCTCAACAATCCCTCCTTTGCAAACAAGCAGCCACTAAAGCAAGGGCAGCTGCCCAGAGCACTCCCAGCTCACACCAAAATTGTTCTTGGAATTGTAGGAAAGAACGCATTTAGAGAGAACTGAGATAAAACACCTCAGTACAAAAGCTACAGGCTGCAGTTCAGGGAGCCTCCATTTTCCATTAACAATAGAGAAATTTTTTTTCTTAATCTGGTTGCTCCCCAAAGTGACATGGGCTTTCCAGATCACATTTCAGGATATGGTTTCATCATATTGTATCACAGCCAAATTTCCCTGCCTCCATATCCAAGGCCAGATAAAGTACTTTGCCCCCTGTGCCATTCTTCCTCCTTGTGAGACTCATTTTTTTCTCAAATCAATTCTGTGACTCACACCATACTGCCTCCAACCGAGGAAGACGGCACCTTCTTATCGCCTGACCAGGAACTGCTTTCTCCTACTTTAGATCTAAACTTAAAGCCAAATTGATATGCAATCTCTCTTTGCATTATCCAAACTTTCCAAGCCCTCCCTTTCCTGAACTGCTATCCTCAACTTTCCTCTGGCATTAGTTTGGCTTCTCAGAGGAAGGAAATGGATTTTACACTGTAATGCATCAGTGCGTTAAAATATGTGGCACTGTATCCACATACTATTACTAACAAAATCCTGCAACACAGCTGTTTATATAAAATAGATGCAGCATGTAATTAATTTTTCCAGATCCTATAGGTCTGTGATCATTCATAGGTCTGTTTCACTCTAATCACTCATCCTTTTATTTTTGGATCAAATGAGTTAAGCAAATGTCTATGTTTAGAACACAGAAAAACCAACCAAGGCAGACAGATTTGTATTTTAAGTATCTGCATGAAATTGAAAAGCCTGAAAACGACTTGGCAAAATACTGTAACTGAACTGCTATAGAAATATCCTGTAATTCCTGCTTTAATTTTATGTATCTATATATAGATGCATATATATCCCATTAATGAAATTCAAACTGAAAGGGAGCTGGCAACCAAAAGTAGTACAACAGTTTTTGACATTAAAATACAGCTCCCTTTTATGCTGCCCTATAATTTAGAAAGAAGATTTAAACTGAGTATAACGTTTTTATAATAGTGGGATCTTTTCACCTCCAGATATTTTTGCCGCTGTTCAAACTGAACTACAGAACTCTAGAAGATAAACTGCTCCCATATGTAACTGTCATCCTCAAAATTACAAATGAACACATTAAAACATATCGATTAAAAGAGCACAGAAACTTATATCCCATTTATAGCTCACCTGTTTTAGTACAGATTTACCTCATATGAATTTAGATGATACGGACTGACGTGAGTCCTTTGTCCAGTCTTCCGATTATTTAATATACCCTCTCCCCAAAAGAAAATTTCTACAATGAATAATGCCTTCCTTTATTTATCTGCTTTAGGAAAAGCTGGAGAAAAGAAAAAAGCACACTCCATGCTACTTAAGTATCTATGATATCAACTTGGGTCTACCAAACCTAAAGCCCATTTACCAACATGCATCTTTCTCAGTTTGAATGTGAAAGAAACAGGCATAGTGCCATCAGCTCACAAGGGCGGGATATAAGGCAATGATGCAAGATAAGGTTTTAAGTAGCAGTTACAAAGGCAGTATTTTCATTTGCAAGCAAAATAATTTTTTTCTTGAGTATTATTATTTTCTGGAGTGCTGACATCTGTAGGAAAAGGATTCAAACACAAACTATTTAATAATTTGATGTGCCAAAATATTACAAAAAATGGCAATAAGTCTTTTATGGCTTAGTGATGGAGCACTCACAGTGATGCTGTTGACCTATACTTACCAGGTACTGCTCTTAATCTCATTCAGCAATGTTAAATCACGACATCTTTGTATTGAATCATCAAGCCTACGTAAGTTGACACTTCATAGAAAAATAACCACTTACTAATTGCTGAAAATATGCTTGATAGGTAAACTGATTGAAATTCAAATTTGAGAAATTTAACCAAGGCACTTTTTATTCTTTAATCAAGGCATACAGTCTTAATTATTAAAAGCAAATGTGCAAGGCAAAAGCAGCTCTGTACCAAAGGCACAGTATGGTCATGATGCTCCAGGTATTTTAGCAGCAATTTGTACCTCAGAAAGAGTGCAACATCTCTGGTTCCTTCACACTCTGCTCTCCAAATGTGTGTGTTTTCCCTGATTAGATTTGACTTAATGATCTCATGTGATAGCCAGAAGTTGATTCAAAATCATACTGGATTTTTGGCTGAAATCACACCTGTAATACCTACCTACCTACCTACCTACATATATATATATATATCCCTTATAATGCAAGGGGATAAATCCATGAGGCATGCCACAATGAGAATGAATTAACAATGGCTTTTACTGACTTTCTGCTAGGCCAGTACATCTGCCCAGGAGCCTCGCTTCTGTTTCAGGCCCTGCACAAGAGGGAAAGAAGCAGAAGGAGCACAAAACAATTCCCATACACTTTTTTATACAGGTAGAGGACTATCCCTCAAGGTAAGTGCTGAGAAATACATCTATAAAACCATCCTAAAGAGGGCACCTTCATGTGAGTTGTGGGATAAGGGGCAGACAAACAGGCTAGCTGTAGCACTGGTACAAAAGGAAGTGTAAGGAGGTTGTTAAAACTTTATTTTCCACACTTTCGTGCAAGGCATATTCTTTCCAGACATGTCTACTGCAAATGTTTTATCAGAACTGGCGTTCCCATTGTTCTGGACTAGGCAGCACAATCCAAAATGACAAGGAAGCTACAGCTGAGCTGTTCAGAGGTTAACAACAGTAACCTCCAGAGTTCCAGTAGCAGCTTCCATGGAGACTATTCAGAGGGTACAAGCAGGATGGAAGATGTGATTAAAGCTGTGATAAGATGAAAATGGGCTTTTGGTTTTATAAGCTGAGACTTAGACAACTTCCAGAATAATAAAAAGAGGAAGGTATGTTTTCACCCTTATAAGGTTTGAAGACTTCATACACTTCAAGAAAAAAGTCAGGGTTCTTGCACAACCCTCTGGGAGATAATGGACATCTCGTAAGAATTCCTTGCTAGGCCGAAAGCGTTTTCTAAATATGCTTTTTCTGGTAGACACTGACTCACTGAAATATATACCTCATTAGTTAGTCTCCTTTTACCTAACTTTCTTACCAGATATTTCATGAAGAAATTAAATCAATGACAAACGTACTGTGACTTAAACACCCAGATGATGTATCAGTTCCTGAAAGTCAGTTTCTCAGAGGATTAAAAAAAAAAAAAAAAAAAAGGTCATCCTGTTCTCTTTTTGAAGCCAGAAATCCTGAGTTCAGCTTTGGCAGTAACTCCCATCAGAGCTCTCCAGAGGTCTGCATGGGATTAAATTTTCAAAAGCACTTAAAAGGTTTAGGAGCGTGTCTCATTGTCAGAAGTGATTTAGACTACTGAACTTAAGCATCGCTAAAAGTACTGCTTCATGCCCTGTCTTGTCAAATCCAGTGAGGGGAAGGGTTCTCACACAGCCCCTGACAGATGCAATTGTTTGAAAAGTGGAACCCCATTTCTACAGCTTTCTGATAGAGATGACTGGCCTCAACCAGGAAAAGCAGAATGCGATACATGCCTTAGCCCAGTAGATCGGCATAAACCACTGATGGAGTAAGTTTGTACTAACGGGCCAGGCTGTGAACCTGAGTGGCACCCCTTCTGCTGTTCGTGGCACAATTAAGCAGCAGACATTAAAGGAAATAGTATCTTCTATTGCTGCAAGCAAATTCACCAGACGCCAAAGGTCATAAGCTCCTAAGTGCCTGAGACACTTTTAAAAGCAGACTTGGATGGTCCTGATAGTGTCACTCAATCTCCCTAGGCTTCATTCCCTTCCCTTGCCCTAAGGGGCTGATGCTTATTTTAGAGGGTGTTAGGCAACTTAATTAATGTCTGTGGTTTCTTTCTTGCTTTAGTATTTTGGGGTGTTTTAAGGCACGCAAAATACTAAGCAAATAAATTCCTTTAAAGTATTTTATTTCATTTGCACTTTTGCAACAGAAAAATTATATTAAAAATCATATGTACCATCATATATGTGACCTAAATTCTTCAGCACTATTCATGTATTTTGTGAGAGACTGGAAATAGCTTTGAAATGTTTAAAATGTTGGATTTAAGAATATAATAAACATGAAAGTGATAACAGTCTGTTCACCAGCTGCAGTGTTTATTTTTTAAAAAATGGATTTGATGGATGTTCTGATGCTTTATGTTTTCTATTGACAATGAGTCAAGTGGGACTTGAAAGGGGAACAGATGCTTTGTGTCACATAAGAGTTCGTGTGAACTTTTGCTTGGACAGGAGAGGGATTGTGGCCTTATAGTTACATTAACTAGATATTTCTACTAAAATGTGTAACATCAAAACAGCCAGTGATCTAAAATTTAAGCTTTCTATGAAAACGTAATTATTGAAGTGTAAATCAGTGTTCTAATGCCCTCCAGCTCTGCAAGTAAGTCTTGGGACCTAGATAAAATCAACACAGAGGGTTTAAGCGCACTTCAAATGCCTAAAAAATGCCCTGCGTTCCATCATAAATCAAGTATCAAATCATGATGAATTTACCTCACCAACATGCAAATAAAACAGTTGCTTTGTCAAGATAGCTGATCTTTATATAAAACCTGAGTCTAGCCATTCAGCTCATGCGCATGAACAGACTTTAGCAGTAAGTTCTTCCTGCTCAAGCCTTTTTTTGGATCAAGTCCTCACTTTTTACCAATCCAAAGCTCCTGTTTAAGTCAACAGAAACACTGTCTGAATTAGGGGGTAAGTAAGAAATGAATAAGGACCCTGACCCTGGGCAAACTTTCATACTATATAATTTCTTTGCCCTGGCAATTCCAAATCACTAAGCTATCTGTTGTTTGAAGCTCATCTCACTACAAGCTTCCTAGGAAACACACATTTAGGAGTACACATATGTTAGTAAGAACATAGCTCCAGACAACTGCTGGCTTGGGATAACAGAAGAGCGCTGCCCCTCAATTCACTTATGTTCACACCCATTTGTAAACAGATCCAGAGCACAGGGGAAAGGAAGGAAGGCCTTGTGCTGCCTGTTCTTTGTTCACAGCACACCTTTGCTTTTGCTCAGAAAGCCAGGGAAAATCTTCTCATTTCTGCAAGTATGTTTTCTTTTTTCTGAGATTTAAGTGGATGGCAGTTATAACAAAACCTGTCAGGGTTGCTGCAGCACCACAAACCGTGTAGGCGATTCCCAGGAATGGGTTACTTCCTCCGCTCCATACCATGGTTGAAAGAATCACATGCTTCTTCCCCTTAAATTTGCTAACAGGGAAATCTGATAGAAGGATGTTAAAGTTTCACTAACAAAGTTCACGTTATTTCCAGCAGGAAAAAAAAATGTAGTGACAAGTGCTCAAAATCCTTTCCAAGGCATAAAGGAGCAAGAAATCTGAATTTGCTGTAAAATTCCTTTAACTGATCTGTGACGTCTCTACTCTTCTCAGTCCAAAAAACCCGGCAGCAGCTGGTGGAAAGAAATGTAGATACTTTACATACAGTTTCATTGTGATTCTGGAAATACCGGGCTTCTTTCAGATTCAAGCATTATATAACTGCTACTGCACTAATTTGACCTGTTTCATAATATTTTCAAGCAGTAAACAAAACTCATTGGAAAATGAGCCTTTTGGGAAGTTTATCATAAATGCTCATCTTTCTCTCATATCCTGTCTATCTAGAATATTTTTACTCTCTCCATGTGGAAACTTTCAGAATACAGCTAGGCTACAACATATTAACACCAGAGCTATACTGGCGGAGAGCAAGGATAAACTTATAGTCCTCTTAGCATAACTCTTTAGTCAGCGATGTTCACACTGTTCAGCGCAAGAGTACAGTTTCACCAGGAGAAAAATTCCTGTCCGCACACAGCTCAAATCCGCCAGAGGGCTCTGCTGATGCAGACATCCCACACAGCTCGGTGGCAGACACTCCTCTGCACCGCTTGCTCCACAGTAAGGGTGTAGACACCCTTGGGATTAGGCCAATATTAAATATTTTGGCTAAAACAACATCTTTAACCATCTCTTCAGTTTCCCAACCTTTTTTTAAAACCTGGTACTGCCATGTTCTGCCTCTGGCCAAAGGTAACCACCTCAGAAGTCAAACCCAAAGCCATGTGCTGCCATTTGAATTATATATCTTAACATCTGCACAGGCTAACGGAAATCCACTTGTACTGTCCTGTCACTCACCAAGACATGGTGATTTAGTTTGGAGTATTTTGCTTGGCTTGGGGTTTTTGGCCACTTTATTATACAAACCCACTTCCATCTAACGTGAAACCATCTAATAGTTAAGGAGTATCTTGGACAATATGAAAGGATACTATAGGAAATACGAAAAGTGTAATTCCCTGCTGGGAGGCCATCAGCAAACTGCCTTGTGCGGCTGACACGGCGATAAAGATTTCTGAATGTAGAAAAGGCCGACACTCGCATCCAGACAATTAACTCATCATTTATGTAACCGTTGTTCCTTTCATCTTCCTCATCTAACAAATATACTGGCTTCTGCCAGTAAGGAGGTCTTGCTGTCCCTGGTGAGGAAGAAAGAAAGCAGGAAAGACCTACTGTCAGTGAAAAGGGTGATTGATTGCTTACTTTTTCTGGGCCTACTGATATCCAGCACAGAACGTGAGAATATGAAAGTGACACAAGGTACTGTCCAGTATTGAAAAATTACATATGCTAGGGAACGTTTCTCATCTAAAGACCTCCACATTTACCTCAAACATGAAAGAACACAGTTTAACAACACTCAAGGAGTCAGTACACATCAGAAATCTCAAGCACAGGAAAAACAGTGACTTGCACAAATAAAAGTACTTGTCATTCCAGCTCCTCATCTCTTCATCAAGGAACATACTCTCTACAGGGAGGAGTTTAGCTTCAGTTTCTATACATCAATTCATTCCCGTACAACCAGAAGGGCACCCAAAGATCGTGAAATAAATTCTGCGTATTACCTTTTTGCAGCCAAAAAAGCACACTCTATGATATTTAGAATATGCCATATGAACTACTTAGACAATTAACTCTTTGAAGCAGGAAGAAGTTTATTTCATATGGCATCTAGCATAGGAATGATCTAATCCAAAATACAGTCTTTAGCTCCACTTCAATGCAGATTAACCCTAACATGGAAACAACCCTAGCAAATGACTGCTTAAAAGAAATACTGAAGATGGCAGTCTTGCTTGGCTCACAACTGCCTAAGAATCTGCAAAGGCAAGAAGAAGGAAAGACGTTATATGCAATTCTCCTTCACAGATGTTTTCCACAGAAGAACTAAAGACAGACTATATCCTTACCTTTGGACAGCTTACACCGTTATAAGAAATAATACAGAAGGGTATTGATGAAGGCTACCTTCAGCCTTCTGAAACCACTCTCTCTCAGCTTCTCCGGTCAGTGGAAAGAGAAATTTCTGCTAAATCTGGCTTCTGCTCCCAGTCACCCTCAAAGGTAGTTTCTTCTACCAGGAATTTCTCCCAAGAGTGATCTCCTTCTTGGCATGGGAGACTTCCATTGGGGTTGGAGAGGAGAAGCCACAGAAAAATAAGGAACATCAGCAGAACCATACTTACCTGCAAATGCAGAAGAAAGATTGTGTGATTTTGGATTGCGAAATTTCACATTTTTATCTGTCCACCAACTGTTTCCAGTCTTCAGCAGTGGGACTTGAATAACAGATGACTTAAGGTTGTAAAAAAGATCAATAGTATCTGCAGGGAATATCAGAGGCAATACATACGAGTAAAAGGCAGACATTCAGAGTAATTTTAATGGCCAACATAACCAATGAAAACTGACCCGGAAGCAGCTCTCAAGTGAACAGGAAAGAAAAAAAAATCTTGTATACTCCACAGGAAGAAGAATTAACCTTCCTGAGCCTTAAAACTTTTACATTTTTAAAGACTGAACATATTCCTACCAATAAATTCTGTTGAATCCTTGTGCAGAAATATGTGCAAATATCTTTTGTCCCTCAACTCTTCCATGACTAACTTCTTTGCAATTTACTTTTGGAGCTAGAGGGGGAAGGCTAGTTAGAAGAGTTACTCTGCTACTTCGCTTTCCCTAAATTTTGTTTTGACAGTTATCCTGAACTAGTTGCTTTGCTATACCACATGTGTTTTGAGGCAGTAGGAGAGAGGTGAAAGCACAATCAAGGGAATCCATGATCCTTGGGAGAAAATTCTGCTTTAGTTTTATGCTAACTAGGCCTCGTCTACCAATTGGGCCACAAATATTCTTTTAATCAAAAGCCACTTAGTTAAAATTGTGCTAACCCCTGTCAACCTGTTTCACTAGGCAAAGGTATTTGTTTTTCCTATGACATCTTCTTACTCCGATTAATTTGTTTAACATAAGGGAAAAGACATTTTAGGTCTCGTCAGCATCTATGCAAAAATCTAGGCAGCGAATGAGACGACTGGCAGGGGCAGTTAGATGATATGGATGGAGACAGGCTGCATTTTAGGAAACATCAAGCACACAACTCAGCTGCATGAACAC